AGAGAGAGAGAGAGAGAGAGAGAGAGAGAGAGAGAGAGAGACTATGTAGATCGTTGCAATTTCGTTTTTTGATGATATTTATCTCAGTTTTCTCATTTAAACAGGTCTAAAAGCCCATTAGTTTTAAATATTAATATCCAGAAGTTGGTGTTTACATTACTATGCACGTCCAGTATTGACGGCTTACTTTAAACTGTGACCTTGGCTTTTGTTTTGCATCGATTACCGAGGCAGATGGACATCCACATCCTGAACAGCTTAACATAGTTTATTTATAGTTCGTTAATACATTAGTATAAATACTTTATATTAGTACAACTTTTTTGTTAACTTGTATCATGCTCTTTCTTTATATTTACTACAGTAATCAAAGACCCTAAATTAAAACTATCTTCCTTTTTGTTGACAGTAGATTTTAAACTACAACCTCAGCTATTTGGTTTCCCAGATACCAGTAGAAGAGGCTGTGCTCTATCAGATGCTAGGGCAGCGAGTGTCCTCACAACTAGTACACAGATAGTAAGGGAGGAATGAGGAAGGACTGGTTATCAACATGTTCCCACAGAGCTCCGTGATCATCACCATAAAGATAAGGGCAGGAAAAAATGAATGACTGCATATGACAGTATGTGTGCTAAGTTGTCGATCTCTGTGCAGGGGCCTGTTGGTCTATAGTGGCGGACATGTATGCGTGTGTATTCACACTGTTCAATGTGTGTTTTTAATTGCCGTGTCGAACATGTGTAGGGTTTCTTCTAAAGGCATTGTGGCATCAGGTTAAACTGCACTCCTAGCACTGATCCATTGAAGATGAAAAATAACTCTGTGTGCAAATTCGACTTTGGCCCGTAGTGCAGTAGCACTGGTTTCTGTGGTGTGGGCCGGTGGCTGCATCCGGCACCATGACTGAACAGCTCCAACTCTAGATAGGATTTGACTCTCTTGAGTCATCCCCGTGTAGCGTTGGCTTTATGTTTGAGACTGGTGACCGCGTCTCTAGAAGGATTTCTGTGTGTTTTTCTACAAGCCGTCCCTGGTCTGCTGCAGAGAAGCATCCCCACATCGCGATGCGGTGGCAACACCATGAATCGTTTTTTTTAGGGGATGATGGGGTGATGTCCGGTGTTTGGCTCGCTGAACATAGCATTTAGTTTATTTAGACCATGGAACCTTTTTTCCCCACTTTGTTTCAAAGGCTCTCACACGGCTCCTGGCTGACTCTGTAGCTCAAATGTCACGAGCGGCTTTCTCTTTGCCGCTGTCCCATGAACAGCGCTGTGACTCGTGAAGATTTTGTGTGCGTGATGTCTCCCATCTCAACCAAAAACCCTGTAGCTTAAGACCTTATGGTCGCCTCCTCCATCACTAGTACCTGGCTGCCACAGACTGTTGAGTCAAACCTGCACCAGAAAGATCTACAGCTGTGTCCGATCTAATCTGTTGTTTTTAAATGTTGCTGTACTCAACTCTGTCATGAGTTGGTGTGGTCCTTTTTTCTTTGCAAGGAAAGTGACTCGGCAGCAGTTGGAGCTTGCACAGACAGGTGTACCTTAACCTCTAATTACTTGCTTTTGTGATCATTTAGGCGAGGTATAGTAACAATCAAATATTTAACTAATCATCTTTTGTATTTGTTCTTGTACTTTGAATTAGAGGTTATTATATCGGGATTAAACAACCTACTGGTAGAGATTTGCTCAACTATGTGGATAAACTGGTTTATTATTACCGTGAGCAGAATGTGTTGAGAGAAACGTTCACCTCCTGCATGTTCTTCTCTGCGCACACACACACACAGACCTACGCGTTATGTTCCTCTCCGGGTCTATTGGTGATTAGTTGTGGTGATGAATTATTATTCAAAATCCTGTAAGTATGTGCTCGTACATACGGATGAACTCTCTCTAATGAATCCGCACTTTGTTTCCTAATTACAGTGAAGGAGTTTCTTGCCAAAGCCAAAGAAGATTTCCTAAAGAAATGGGAGAATCCAGCACAGGTGAGAGAGTGAACGAGAATTACTTCCCTTTGTCTGTGAAATCATCATTACGTAGGATTCCGTCAGTGTCGTGATTTGGTCGTGTTTTGCTCGTATTGTTAGTGTGATAGTGCATCTTATAATACATCTTGAATCAGCTCGACCTCTGTTTTTACAAACCGTACTTACACTCAGACTCGTGGAAGTAGTTCCGCCCATGAGCAAATCATTTCCTCTTTATTTTAGAGGGGCAGTGCACCCTCTACTGGGCTAATGTGAAACGTGTGTGTGTGTGTGTGTGTGTGTGTGTGTGTGCACCTCTTAGAATGACATGTCTAATTCACATGAAAACAGGAATTCTTTTGTAAACATTTGTTATTGACGGATGTTAGTGGAGGTATTATTGAGGAGGAACGGTGAACTAAAGTCGGGCTTTTTATGGTATGTTGTTGTTTACCTTTTTCCTCTTCGACCCCTCAGCAAACTGCGGCGTTGGACCAATTTGAGCGTTTGAAGACCTTAGGCACTGGTTCGTTCGGCCGAGTCATGCTGGTCAAACACAAAGAGTCGGCCCAGCATTTTGCCATGAAAATACTTGACAAACAGAAGGTGCAGTACATTTAGGCTTTCAAGAGAACCAGTACGCTCATTTACAGTAGAGCTGTGAATGCTTAACCGTTGTTTCTGACATGATATAAATGTTATTTTTGAAGAAATTGTATTAGTAGGTATAGCAGGACTTTGACAGTCACTTTTAAAGAGTGTTTGTATGAGCACTTTAAGCCAGAGAGACAAAAATAACCCATGTGTACTATCAAGTCTGCAGCCAAGAAGTGATCACAAAGTGGCAACATTCAGAAAACGAGACGTTGATTTAACCCACCGATCGGACAAATTGTAAGTCCTCCCCAGTGAAAGGTTTCAGTGATCTCTCTTATCTGTGGCATCTCGCTGGTTAGCAGCTCCACGGAGGAGCTACAAGTGGATCTTCTGATCTTAGAAATATCATAAAGATCACTTTGTTCTAAAAAAGAAAAGTTCAAATGTCCTAAAGTGCCATGAAGCTAGTACCCAGTGCATTACCACTGAAGGACGGCCTGTTTTTATAGATCGGATCATGTCTGACGTAGATGAAGTCTTGCATGGGGATGTTTAAATGTTAGTTTAGTAATGTTAAGACGTCAGAATGTTGATGGAAGACTGCTGGCACAAGTAGCGATCCTCTTCTTTTTGTTGTTTCTATAATGATGTTTTGTCCTGATCCCTCTTAGGTAGTGAAGCTGAAGCAGATAGAACACACGCTGAACGAGAAACGTATCCTGCAAGCGGTCAGCTTTCCCTTTCTGGTGCGGCTGGAGCACTCTTTTAAGGTGTGCATTGAACTGTTAATCCGGTTGTCTTCTCGCCGTGTTCACCTCATGTCTCATGTCTTTTGCTCGTCAAAGTAAGATTTTGCTCGTTTCTCTCCAGGACAACAGTAACCTGTATATGATAATGGAGTATGTACCCGGCGGCGAAATGTTCTCCCACTTAAGGAGAATCGGTAGATTCAGGTGAGTTGAGTTTTAGGCCGCTCCTATGTTTAGTTTTTTCTCTACGCACCATTGGTTGATTTAAATATTGTGCCCGATGTGTGTTTTGCAGTGAACCACACGCCCGCTTCTACGCAGCCCAGATTGTACTGACATTTGAATACCTTCACTCGCTGGATCTCATCTACCGAGATCTGAAGCCAGAGAACCTGCTCATCGACCAACAAGGTTACATACAGGCAAGGACTGCACCTTTTCTTCTAGTCGCCATCAACGACGGTTATGTTGCGCTGGTCTCTGTGCTCCTGTGTGTGTGGTCAGTGCTCAGAGCTGTGCACTCCGTTCCTCAGGTAACAGATTTTGGATTCGCGAAAAGGGTGAAGGGCCGAACCTGGACGCTTTGTGGCACCCCGGAGTACCTGGCACCAGAGATCATCCTCAGTAAGGTAGGTGTTCCCGACACGGGACTTCATTAAGGAAGCCGTTTCATTCTCATCGTACATCCGCTTCAGGACTGCGGGCCTACTGTCTGCTGTCAACACTCCTATGTGTGGGAGTTTTTGTTTGAGGACCAGGATGTGACGGCCCTTTTTATTTCCTGTGTGTTTTCCAGGGTTACAATAAAGCAGTGGACTGGTGGGCTCTGGGAGTGCTGATATACGAGATGGCTGCTGGTTACCCCCCCTTCTTTGCTGACCAGCCTATTCAGATTTACGAGAAGATTGTATCAGGGAAGGTGAGTTGAGATAAGCCGACCAAAAATATTATTTTTGTAAGTATTTTGATTGTTCCAGCACAACGCGGTGCATTTTAAACATCCATAATTCACACCAGTGCTGTTTTTGGCAGGTGTGGGAAGAAAAAAACATCAGTGATGATATTGTCTCAGTTCATCACTCCTAATTATATGAAGAGGGTTGTTGTGGTTGTGTGACACATTTGCAGTTTAAGATTAAAATTGTAAAGACTAAAAGTCAAAGGTTAATTGTCCAATCATGTAACTTCTGCTTCTTGTATCAAGTGGATTCTCCTGAAGAAACTACAGTTTCTCATTTTCCTCCTACTATTGGCACATCAGTTTCTCTGTCCTTTGAAATTATGTGTGCGTTGTATTTCTCTTCATTTCAAGAACAAGACACAAAAATACCAAATTTATTTTCTCAATGAATCTTGCGCTTGACGTTATCTTTTTCTTACTTTTGTTAGAACGATTGTTTAATCTTTAATGTTACTTTTGGCTTGTTATTTGTAAATATGTTTTGATTTTAAAAGTTAAAAGATAAAGATAGGCACCATAACTCTTTATGCATTTCTACTGAAGAATCTTTACCTGTTTGTCTTGAGGGGACATTCGCATAAAAAATAACTGACGCACGTCACAGATTTGTTTCATAGTTTATTGTACAGTTTAACAAGTCACCGGGGCATTGGAACTACACAACAACACAAGCCTCTTGGTGCCTTTGAATGTGGCATCGAAGCTAACGTCAGGCAGGCCGGTTTTGCATCTCTGCCTTTTGTCCTTTGCCGTTACTCAACGGTGGTGGGAAAGCGATAGCTAGCAGTGGAAGGCTAAGTGACCCTGTGGACTAACATGACTAACGCATTGAAGAGGTCAAAGGAAAGTGAAGTAGTGCAAACAAACAGAGGTGCCACAACCAGGACAGTCGCATCCAAAATCCACACTAGTGGGCACATTTTAGACTGAACCGGTCATCGCACTACGCACCACTCGCAGGCTTGCACTGACCTACCGTGGTAATAATAATAATAACTTTATTGGTAGGCCAGAGTCCTGCAGTGTGTTTACAAATACTAGCATGAGGTATAAAGCATGAGAACACTCACTCAAGCTGCTTTCGCTGTTTGCAGGTTCGCTTTCCCTCCCACTTCAGCTCCGACCTCAAGGATCTGTTGAGAAATTTGCTGCAGGTGGACCTGACCAAGCGCTTTGGCAACCTCAGGAACGGAGTCAACGACATCAAGGGCCACAAGTGGTTCGCCACCACCGATTGGATCGCCATCTACCAGAGGAAGGTGAGAGGGGCCAGCCTTTATACAGTAGTGATGTGCTCAAAGTGATGCTGACAAAGGAAGATGGCTTTAATGAGCCTTCGGTCAGTGGAAGTGTCTTTAGTCTACATCTGGCTACGGGTAATTCCACACCATCTGTGCTTCCTCTGCACGATGACATTGCATTGGAGTCTAGTGGGAAAATGTCTAAAACGCGTGTTCCAGCTTTCTTATCTGAACACAAAAGCTGGTGGATTCAGTGGAATTACAGCAGCACCGCAACGTACCAGAAGTGGAAGCGACCATGTTTTGGTCCACATAATCCCAGGTTTACTTGTATAAGATCTCAATCACAGCTGTCAAAGGGTTTCACAAACCCTTCCTAACCTTGGACTCATCAGGAAAATGCTGCAGAGAGAGGGGCACCCCCCCCCACCCCACCACCACCACGGCAGTCAGGCATGTAATGAGCGCTGACAGTCAGCAGACAAAGGTTAAATGCAGACCATAGACACAATATGCAGAATAAACACTATGATAACATTTCAAACACACAGATTTAATCATTTTTGTTTCGATTTTGTTTTTGACAGAAAAGAGTGTTTCTTTCATGTCGATATTGCCTTTCTCTGTCTGTGCGTAACACAAATGAATCCGGCAAGTTCATACTTTGTTTTTGTTTTTTTCATGCAGTTGTTGAAATGAATTCTGGGAAATCTAGGAAATTACCAGCTAAATTAGAAATGGATGAGTTGGCTTGAGGGAAAGCGAATGACAGCACATGATCACTAAAGTCGTCCTGCAGTATGTCTTCCAAGTATTCACGCATGATTTCTTGATTGCGTAACGCATTTTACTCCCAAACTCTTCAGTTACTTTGTCCAACTCTAAATGAATACAAATCTACTCAGTCGTCTCTTTCCTCACCAGGGGTCTGTTCATTCAGTCGTGTTGTGTTGTTCCTGCCATGGCTTTGGTTCTCTGCATCATTCTGATGGATTGGATTGTCTTTGTGTGTTTCAGGTGGAAGCTCCCTTTATTCCTAAGTGCAAAGGCCCCGGTGATACAAGCAACTTTGATGACTACGAGGAAGAGGAAATCAGAGTCTCCTTCACAGAGAAGTGTGCAAAGGAGTTTGCTGAGTTCTAGATTCCCACCACGAGTAGCGGAGAGAAAGAGAGCGAGAGAGAGACGGGTTTAGAAAGTAAAAGGGGGTCGAGAGGAAGGAAGGAAGCGCTAGGGTGGACTGCTAACTTGCTTATTTGTAATGACGACAACAATGTAACTCCCCCCCCCCCCCCCC